GTGATAATGATAACGACCACGAAGTTGACGACGACGACGACGGCTGCGGTGATGAGGATGAGGATCAGGAGGGTGAGGCTGAGGATGAGGACCATGACGATGATGCTGATGATGATGACGACGACGATGATGATGGTGATGCTGATGACGACGAAGACGATGATGATGATGATGATGATGATGATGATGATGATGATGATGATGATGATGATGATTATGATGACGACGACGACGACGACGACGACGACGACGACGACGATGATGATGATGATGATGATGATGATGATGATGATGATGATGATGATGATGATGCTGATGATGATATTGATGATGATCATGATGATGATACCCCCCGAGGTCTCTGAAGGTCTCCGCAGTATTAGGTGTGCGAGTGGTGGGGCTCCAGGCTGCACACGGCCTCCCCCAGGGTAGCCCCGGCTGGCCCCAGCAGGCCCCCCGAGCAGTCTGGGGCGGTCTCAGCAGCCTCACCCTGGCCGGCGCGGAGCGCCCCGTGGGCGCCGCCGGCGGAGGCCAGCTGGGATTCGCTCGGGAGGGCGGCCGAGGCCAGCCGAAGCGCCACCTCGGGCGGCCTGCTGAGGCCAGCCGGGGCTACCTCGGGTGGCCATGCTGAGGTCAGCTGGGGCTGCCTCGGGGAGCCACGCTGAGGCGAACCATAGGGGGGCAAAACGTTGAGGCGAATCATAGGGAGCCACGTTGAGGCGAATCATAGGGGGGCAAAACGTTGAGGCGAATCATAGGGAGCCACGTTGAGGCGAACCATAGGGGGGCAAAGCGTGGCATAAACACAGAAACTCGGAGGTCCGCGCGGATTTCTCGGATCGGCGCTGGGGCCCCCCGGCGGCGCCTCTGGCGCCGCCCCTGGCGCGCTCCGCGGCCAGGGAGGGGGGGCGTCCAGCGCCGATCCGAAAATCGCGCGCGGATTCCTCCGAGGTTTTCTGTTTTATTTTTTGGTTTTTTTTCACATTTTTTGCCCCCCTAAATCAGCCTCGACCACCTCTGGGGGCTTTTGTCGAGGTCTGGGCCGGAACCCGAAGGGCTGTCCTCGCTCCGGGTCCCTCCTTCCCCTCGGGCCCAGCTCGCCAGCCTGGGGGGCTCCTCGAAGAGTTTCCCTCGAAGCTCACCTGCCTGGGGGGGCTGACTGCGCGCAGCCCGAAGCCTTACCAGGTCTGCGATCATGGATTGTGGTCCTGAGAGCCGCCGTCGGCAGCTTCATTAGCGGTCGCTTCTTCATCATGGCGTTCTTTCTCCCCTCTGGCGTTGCGTCCTGTTCGGGGCGTCGTCGTCGTCGTCGGCCGTCGTCGTCGGTCGGTTGTCGGCGTTGCGTCCTGTTCTGGGCGGCGCTGGCTTCAGCTTCGCCGCTCAGGGGCTCGGTCATGGACCCCCGGTCGAACACAGCCCGCCCAGCTTTCGCGCCGAAGGCCGCTGGACGTTTGCCGAAGACTGGCAGAAACCGCCCCGAGGACTGTCAGAAGGCCGATGTGCAACACAAAGAGTCCATGGTTCGGCGGCGAGCTCAGGGGGAAGTGAGAAGGGGCAGGCCTTCTCACAAGGCGACGGGGCTTCTCAGCAGCCTTCCGGCCTTCTGGGAAGCCGTCTGTGGCGTTGGAGATGGCTCGCAAGGATTCTCAGTGAGAAGCCCCGGCGCCTTCTGAGGAGGCCTGCCCCCTCTCATTTCCCCCCGTCCCCCCTTTGCTCGCCGCCGAGTGGCCCAATGCGCATCACGGATCCCGCAGGACCCCCCCGCCTGGCAATGGGGAGGCCAGGACAGCTCCGCGAACTCTTCCCAAAAGACGAGCCGCCGCCGTCGCCCTCGTCGTTGTTGTTGTAGTTGTGGTCGCCGTCGCCGTCGGTCGTCGGTCGTCCGTCGTCCGTCGTCCGTCGTCCGTCGTCCGTCGTCCGTCGTCGTCGCCGCCGTCGCCGTCGCCGTTGCCGTCGCCGTCCTCATCGTCGTCGTCAGTTGTCCGTCGTCCGTCGTCCGTCGTCCACCGTCCGTCGCCGTCGCCGCCGTCGCCGTCGCCGTCGTCGTCGTCGGTCGTCGTCGCCCTCGTCGTGGTCCGCCGCCGCCGCCGTCGCCGTCGCCGTCGCCGTCACCGTCGCCGTCGCCGTCGTCGTCGTCGTCGTCGTCGTCGTCCGCCGTGCGCCGTCGCCGTCGCCGTCGCCGTCGTCGTCGTCGTCGTCGTCGTCAGTCGTCGTCGTCGTCAGTCGTCGTCGTCGTCGTCGTCTTCGTTGTCGTCGTCGTCGTCCGCCGTGCGCCGTCGCCGTCGCCGTCGTCGTCGCCGTCGCCGTCGTCGTCGTCGTCGTCGTCAGTCGTCGTCGTTGTCGTTGTCGTCGGCGTCGTCGCCGTCGTCCGCCGTGCGCCGTCGTCGCCGTCGGCGAGGCTGGGCTGCTGCAGGGCGCCACGCGGGGCGCGCGGGCGGCGCACTCCGGCGGCGGCCGGCACCAGGGGGAGGCCCGCGGCGACGCGTGCCGCCGCCGCCGATCGCGGCGACGACGACGGCGACGCCGGCGACGACGACGACGACGACGACGACGACGGCGACGACGACGACGACGACGACGATCTCGGCGACGACGACGATGGCGCACGGCGGACGGCGGACGACGACGACGACGACGACGACGACGACGACGGCTTTGGCGGCGGCGGCGGTGGCGGCGGTGGCGGACCACGACGAGGGCGACGACGACAACGACGACGACGATCGAAGATCAGAAGGCGGCCTAACCTGGGGCTGTGATTGTCGACCCTCTTCTGCTGTTTTCGGCGAAACGAAACCATGTCGCACCTCACCCCTGGAAGGGATAGGTTGCCCCCCGACCTCTCAGTGATCCCTCCAAGATCAAATCAGTGATTCCAACCAGATTCAAGATGGTTTCAGGGCTGCAGGGATCTGGATTGTCGGCGGGGGCTCTTGCCTCCCAGGAGGCTGTCTTGAGGTCTCTCTTTAGCTGTCTTACTCGCCTTCCTTCCCCCGCCCCCCCCCCCGCGGAATTATCTGATTCACTCATTGTGCCGTGGTGCTAATGATATCGCTCCGCGTTTCCACCCTCCCCTCGGGAATCAGTCAGTTATTTTTGAACGCTGTGGATGCGGGGAGGGAGGAGGAGGAGGAGGAGGAGGAGGAGGAGGAGGAGGAGGAGGAGGGTGGGGGGAGGGGGCGACAATCTCCGCCTGCGGCGAACCACAACTTCGCGGGCCCCTTTGGCGGCGCCTCGGCGCCGCCGCTGGCGCGCTCCCGCGCGCCAGGGAGGGGTCCTCCTCCACCTCTCCTCCTCCTCCTCCTCCTCCTTCCTCCCTCCTCCTCCTCCTCCTCCCTCCTCCTCTCCTCCTCCTCCTCCTCCGTCCTCCCTTCCTCTCCTCCTCCTCCTCCTCCCTCCTCCTCCTCCCTCCTCCTCCTCCTCCTCCTCCTCCTCCTCCTACTCCTCTCCTCCTCTCCTCCTCCTCCTGCCTCTCCTCCTCCTCCTCCTCCTCCTCCTCCTCCTCCTCCTCCTCCTCCTCTCCTCCTCTTCCTCCTCCTCCTCCCCTCCTCCTCCTCCTCCTCCTCCTCCTCGCTCGCTCCTCGCTCCTCGCTCCTCCTCCTCCTCGCTCCTCCTCTCGCTCCTCCTCTCCTCCTCCTCCTCCTCCTCCTCCTCCTCAGACAATCGAGAGACTACGCTCCTGTGTTTTTCCTGTCCCTGTAGACGACAACACCGACAGTTTCTCGCGTCTCGTAAAACAGACGACGGCGGGAGTTCCTCCGTCGTTTTCGGCCTCCGGGGCCCTCGCGGGGCCCCGGCGACAGTGCCGAGGTCCCAGAGGAAGCGTCTGAATATCCAGGGCATCGCGGACGATCGGCGGCGACGACAGCGACGATGACGGCGGCGGCAGCGACGGCAGCGGCGGCGGCTACGGCGACGACGACAACGTCGGTGGATGCGTCGACGACGACAACGGCGGCAGCGTCGGAGTTGGCGACGGCGACGACGCAGACGACGACGACGATCGACAACCGACGACGACGACGATCTCGGCGACGACATCGTTGTCATCGTAGTCTTCGTCGTCTTCGCCGCCGCCGCTGCTGCCGTCGTCGTCGTCGTCGTTGCCGCCCCCACCGCCGCTGTCGTCGTTGCCGAAGCCGCCGAAGCTGCCGCCGTTGTGGCCGACGCCGCCGACGTCGTCGTCGTCGTCGCCAGTTTCGTTTCCGCGCCTCCGGGGTCTTTGGACGTTTCTTGGCGGCTTTCGAAGGTTTCCAAGGGGAGGGGGGAGGTTGGCGAGGAAAGAAAAGGACCTTTGAGAAGAAGGGAGTGGGTGAGGAAAGAAGGGAAAGGTAGGAGTAGGAGGGGAAGGAGGAGGGGGAGGAGGAACAGTGGGAGAAGAAAGGAAGAGGACAGGTGAGGATGAGCAGGAGGAGGATGAGGAGGGACAGGGAGAAGGAAGCGGACGACGATTGATGATGTTGATGATGATATGGTGATGGAGATAGTGATGGTGGAGATGGTGATGGTGATGATGATGCTTATGATGATTATGCTGGTGATGTTGATGCTGATGATGATGTTGATGATGATGATGATGATGATGATGGTGATGATGCTAATGATGATGAAACTGCTTATGATTATGATGATGATGACGAGGAGGATGATGATGCTGAAGTTGATGATGATGGTGATGATGGTTATGATGAAGGTGGTGATGGGGATGTTGATGATGACGATGCTGCCTATGCTGTTGATGACGATGACGACGAGATGATGATGGTGATGATGATTAGTATCATAATGATGACAGTGTTGATGATGATGAAGATGATGATGAACATGATGATGATGATGATGATGGTGATGATGATGATGATAATGATGATGAAGATGATGATGGTGACGGTGACGGCGAGGCTGATGATGACGATGATGTCTATGGTGTTGATGGTTGCAATAGCGACGACGAGATGATGGTGATGATGAGTGTTATTTTGTATCACCATTATATCGATGATGATGATGCTGATCATAAAAATAATGATGATAATGATGCTGATAATGATGATGATGATGATGATGATGATGATGATGATGATGATGATGATGATGATGATGATGATGATGATGATGATGATGTCTATGGTGGTGATGATGATGAGGAGGAGGAGGAGGAGGATGATGGTGACGATGCTGATAATGATGATGATGATGAGGAGGAGGAGGAGGAGGAGGAGGAGGGGTTGCGAAGAAACTTTGGAGGAGGATTACCAGAGCAATCCAGGATGCCTCAGCGATGCTGCAATCCAACCTCTCGTCCCAAGTCCCTTCCTCGTAACTCCCGAAGTACATATCGCTCGTTGAAGCTGTGCGTTTATTTTCCCTGTTCCAGTTTACCTCAGGTGCCCGTCCCATTTCCTTTTCCATAGATGTTCTTCTTCCCAGTTCCTCTCCCAATCTATTTCAGGAATCGAGCATGTTCCCTGTTCCTTCATTGTCAGGGGAAGGGCGGAAACCAGTATAGTTCCAACACCTTCCCGCTTCATGTTTCTGCCCAGCGCTTCCGAGCCAGGGGGCCATTGTCCTGTTCCGCTGCGGAAAAAGCCCCCCGAGCAAAAACCGTTTGGACCCGATAACTGGCGTTAACTAAACGGCCCCGGGTGCAAGGAGAAGGACGACACAGTCCAGTGGAAGTGCCCGCTGATTCAAGGGAGGAAAAACACTTGGACCCGATCATTGGCGTTGACCAAACGGCCCCGGCCGTTTACTGAGCAGCCCCGCCTTGTTCGATTCTTTCTGTGAGTGCGTTTACTCAAACGGCCTCGCTTGTCGGGGTGATTATTATGGGGGGGGACTTTTGTTGCCCTCTACTGATGGCCCCGTTCTGGAGAGGATCGGTCCCCCACCCGCGTGGGCGATTTTGTGCAGGATGCACCATCCATCGCCCCAGCTGGGCGACACAAGGGGAGGAGGAGGAGGAGGAGGAGGAGGAGGAGGAGGCGGAGGAGGAGGAGGAGGAGGAGGAGGAGGAGGAGGACGAGGACAAGGACGAGGACGAGGAGGAGAGGAGGAGGAGGAGGAGGAGGAGAGGGAGAGAGAGGGAGAGGAGGAGGAGGGTGAGGGAGGAGGAGGAGGAGGAGGAGGAGGAGGAGGAGGAGGAGGAGGAGGACGACCACTGATAGCCCCCCTCGTGGGGAGGATCGTTCCCCCACCCGCGTGAGCGCTGCGCCTCTTTCCTCGAGCCCCGGCCGCGAGCTGCGCGGAACCCTCGAGAAGGAGAGCCCCGCTCTGCGAGGGAGCCGCCTTCCGTCCATGCAACGGGTGTAGCACCTGGAGCTCCAGGCCATAGAATTCGAGGAAGGCTCCTCCTCCTCCTCCTCCTCCTCCTCCTCCTCCTCCTCCTCCTCCTCCTCCTCCTCCTCCTCCTCGTGTCCCTTCTCACAAGAACCGTTCTGGCACAATCGCGCCCGCGGGCGCCCTTGGGCCAGGCTCCGCACCTCTTCGTGGTGTTCTTGACTACGGGCTGCTGTCGCCACGCCCAGGGCGTCGCGACCAGCCCCGACCAAGTCGGAGCCAAACTTCGGGATGGGCCCGCGCCGTCCTCGCTCTGCTGCGCCGCGGCCCGCTGCTGGGACTGCACTCGTGGTGCCGTTCCTGGAGGACTGGACGCGCTGCTCGGGATGCTCCTCGTGGCGCTGGAACAAGAGCTGGTGTCAAGAGCTCTGGAAGTGCAGTTGCGGGAACGCCGTCGAGCCCTTCCGTCGGCACCCGCGGCGCCAGGCCGCAGCGGCGGCCCCAGCCAGTCAGGGCCGCGCGGGCTCCCTCACGCAGTGTCCTTGGCGTCGGCAGGGGCCCACTGACGGCGACGCGAGCTCCACGGGCGGAGTGAGCAGGGCCTCGGACCTCACCTCCGTCCTCACGCAGCTTGCGGCCTCCAAAGGCCAGGAGCCCCAGGCGGCTATTGCCATCGAGCTGGTGCGGAAGCTGGTGGCGCCGCCCCCGCCCGCCGTGGAGGCCGAGCCGCCTGATGAGGTCTTCCGCAAGGCGGCGGGGTTCCACAAAGAGGCGGCTAGGAAGCACCAGGGCGCTGTCGACGCGGTGATCAGGCTGGAGGGCCAGCTCGCGACGGCGCGGGAGAAGGAGAACGTGATGGCCGTGGCGCTGGCTGAGGCGGAGCACTCCAAGCGTGCCGCTGCAGCAGCAGTGGCGCGCCAGGCCGCCGAGGGCGAGCGGCAGCAGGACCTCAGCGAGGACATCTTCCAGCTCACGTGGGACCCAGGTGTCTTCGCGAATGTGAGCGACCTCTCGCCGTCCGAGCGTGGGGGGTTGAAGCAGTTGGAGTCCTCGCTCAACGCTGCCAAAGCCGACCTGGCGGGCAGGGCGAAGGCTATCAAGGACAAGTTCCAGCAGGTGCGCGCTGTGAAGATGCCACGGCGCAAGCGGAAGGGCTCCCACTCGCCCGATCGCCTCAGCGAGACCGACGAG